AAAGCAATAGATTTCTTGCTTCTGCCACAAATTCCCCCAGCTGTAAGCCTTTCACCCTTCTAAATATTACTTTATATGTGGTTCAGAGTTCTGGGACCAGCCCCTGAGCCTGTTTGGTCGGGCATTCTGTGTTGTTGTTAGCGGAGCTCCTTTACTGTACTTCCACCCGATCTGCCATCTTGTTTGTTCTCCCCACTGTGTATTTTTAATGCCTTCCAACATAGGGGGTTCATCACATAAATATATTCTGTTGTGATCTATAGGGTTTTTACTGAGTACTTTTCAGAAGTAGACCACCAAGTCTTTTTTTGTTTTAGTCTGTCTTAGAGTCCTGGTATGGCACCGTAACATAAGAACTCAACCTCAAGGCCAATTTGAACTGTGAGGTCAGTGGTTCAAATTTACCAGCCACTCATCCGAAATCCTATACAGGGTCGTTAAGAGTCAGAACCAACTCAACAGCACTTAACAACAACAAAGTCTGTCATAGTCTGGAAGCTCCAGTGAAAACTGTCCACCATGGGTGTCCCTGCTGGTATTGGAAACACCAGTGACCTAGTTTTCAGAATAGCAGCATTGTGTAAGCCACCACAGTACAGCAAACTGACAGACAGATGGTGGTCTGGTCATATCAGATGGTCACAAACCAAACCGTAAGATCCTTTCTATTGGGAGGCGGGGTTTGGGGTAGATAGAACGATCCCATAAACTTCTCCATCCTAAACCCCATAATTAGGGAATATGTTACTTTTCATGACCAAAGGAACTCTGCAGATGAAATTAGGGTTGCAGACCTTAAAATGAGGGCGATCATCTTGTACTATCCAGGTGGGTCCAACCTAATCCTTAAAAGTCAATAACTTTCTGTGACTGGGGGCAGGACAGACAAGCCAGAGGGGGAGGTCAGAGATATTTAAAGCATTAGGAGGACTTGACCCACCAATTCAGGCTTTGAAGATGGAGGAGTCATGAGCCTGGGGAAATGGGCTGTGCTGAAAGCTGAGAAAGACCCTTGACCATCAGGACTTCAGTCCCACAGCCAAATGGAACTGAATTCAGGCAACAAGATAAATGAGTCTGGAAGTACATTCTCCCTTGACTTTGCCCATAGGAGATCCTAAACAGAGGGCCCAGGCCAGCATGCTGGACTTCTGACCTGCAGAGCTCTGAGGCAACAGATCGATGTTGTTTAAAGCACCTCAATGCTCAATCATTACTGCAACAATAAAAAATGCATATAGTGTGAATCTGAGATACACGAAAAGAGAAAGAGACCGTGTCATTGGATGCGAGCTGCAGCCTAACATCATGCTCGACACTTGTGCATCCAACCAAATTCCCTGGACACGGTCCTGCCCTCTCATTTTACTGCATGTTTGTGTTAGTGCTGCTAGAACAGAAACATCAAAGTGGATGACTGTAAATCACAGAAATTTATTTTCTCACAGTTCTGAAAACTGAAATCCAAATCAAGGTGTCAGTCGTGCTGATTCTTGCCTTGTAGGTGGTTCTGAGGGTTCCTTGAAGAGCCTCACGTGGCATCTGTCTTTCTCCATATGTGTGGATATCTGTCTCTTTATAACTCAAAATTGATAATATTAGACCTCACCGGAGCTGTGGCTGCCAGCAACATGTTCAAGGCAATTCAGAGATCCGTGAGACCCACCAGCCTGAGTCTGCTCACCTTTAAAGTCTATGCATCACCAAAGAAGGACTCGCCCAACAAAAATTCTGTCAAGGTTCATGACCTTTCACCCTACTCAGTCCCAGAAGATCAATCCAAATATGTGGAGGAGCCAAGAATCCTACTTGAGGAAAACATTTCACAGCTCCAACAAGTTGGTGTCAGGAAAAGTACTTCTACACTAAGCCCAGGATGCAGAGGATTGCTCAGTGGGGAGTAGACAGCTATGACTATCTCAAAAGTGCACCTCATAGATTTTTCCCAAGACTCGGTATTATTGGGTTTACTGGCCTTGTCAGACTCCTTTTCTCTAGAGGCTCAAAAATAAAGAAGTTGGTGTATCCACCTGGTTTCATGGGACTAGCTGCCTCTGTCTATTATCCATAACAAGCCATCAGCTTTGCCCAGGTCAGTGGGGGAATGTCATATGAATGGGGTTTGCAAGGATACACAATTGTAGAGGATTTGTGGAAGAACTTTCAAAAGCCAAGAAATGTGAAGAAACCACCCGAAAATAAATAGAATACGCCTTGCTCTGATCATTTTAATCAGTTATAGGAAAACATTGGAAACTCCATACATTAAATCAGTATTTCTACAGAAAAATGGTGAAGTCAGTATTGAATGTAGGAAATTGGCTTTCTTCTTCAGGAAAAACTGTACTGCACCTTTCTTTTTCTTGGGTGATCCCCTATTATAAGTGGACTAATCTGGAATCTTTTCACCTAGAGATAATATACAAGCCTTAGAACTCTTTGTTCTCATGTTGCTATTTATGTACATACTTAAAATTCAACATTAAAAGAAAAAGTGATATTATTTAGAGCCCACCTGACTCAGGTACACTCAAAGTAGCATACCAATGAAATCCTATTGCCAAATAGGACCACATCCAATAGGACCACAGGTACAGAGCCTACAATTCGAACATATGCTTGTTATTTGTTTTGGGGGATTCCAGTGGGGACAGACACAATTTAATCCATAAAATTGAATTAATCCTTAACCTCAGAAGAATTCTATAGAGAGGGCAAAAGGAGAATTGCCAAGTCTGTTCTTCCAATGTGTAAGCTAAGACAGAGAGACATTTTCAATTTTACAACACTGACAGGTCTAGTTAGAGACAGGGCAGAAGCTAGAACTCCAGACTCATGGCTCCCAGCCTAAGACCCTGCCAAGAAACCACCCCAGGAAGGAAGCTTTGCATATCAGACCATCTACTCACCTTTCTATAGATAGCAAATATGGTTCCGATGGAGGCCAAACAGTCAATGTTGGAAGAACCATCCAGTGGATCAAAGCAGACCACATACTTGCCCTAAATGAACAGAGGGAGGAGCCATTCCATCAGGTTATCTCCCCATCAGCACAAATGTCTCTAATCTAAGTAAGTGACTACTTGTGGCAGGTAACTAAAAAATATTTCAATCAATAGGATATCCACACCAAAATTTGCAACAGCAAGGAAGGTAGATTGTAGCAGCATATTTGAATTCTGCAGCTCAGGGCCAGTCCTGACCACAACAGACTAGTTGACACCCTGGTAAGGTGACTTGAGTCCCACCCACCTCCAAATAGCTCTCCCCACTTGGTGTCTGGTCCTGCCCTCTCCTCCTTCCAGGGTCCACTGAAGACACAAGAGTTGCTGACTATGTTGTAGGAATCAGCTCCAACCTGGGTACTATGCAGAAAATGCATGGGGAAGCTAAAGGTAAGCTTGGACTACTGCCCAAAGGTGTTCTGATATCCTCATTAGAGCCACTTAATAATTTATTGATAGTTATTACCAAATCTCTCCTCAGAGGGATTTTTAAGATTATCAATGCCATTTGGGGACCATGTTTGGCAAAACACTTGAGAAAATCCCAGAACACCACCCCAGGGCTTCTGATGTGCTGATGTGCATAAATATGTCGGGAGAATAGAACACTATTCTGGATTTGCTGCATCCAGTCTATCGGTCACACTAGCAGACATGATAATAGAGCAAGTGGACTCCTACTACTCGTGTTCCCCATCCCTATTCCCCACGGTCACAGACAGCTCCAGCCAACAGTCCCTGGAAAGAAATCACCAAAGACTTTTTACAGACCTACTGTCTGAACGAAGGAGCTCTGGTAGCGTAGTGCTTATGAATTGGGCTGCTAACCTCAAGGTCAGCGGGAGAAAGATGAGGCTTTCTGCTCCTGTAAAAATTTACAGCCTCGGAGGGTCGCCATAACTCCAAACCAGTCAGAACCGACTCCACGGCACACCACCACCACCACCACAACCACCACCAGCTGGAGTCCTAGTGTGACCCCGTAGGTTAAAGCACTGGACCACAAGGTTGGCGGTTCAAACTCACCAGCTGCTCCTTAGAAGCCCTATACAAGGTCGCTATGAGTCAGAATGCATTCAACAGCACTTCACAACAACATATGCAGAGTCCTGGTGCGGCACTGTAGGATAAACACTGGACTACTGACAGCAAGGTTGGTGATTCAAACCCACCAGCCACTTCGCAGAAATCCTATATGGGGTCACTATGAATCAGAAACAAGTTGGCAGCCCTTAACAACAACTATATCCTGGTGTGGCGCTTTACCGGGGGTGGGGAACATGAGGCCTACAAAATCATTTGGTCTGGCCCTGCTAAGGCAACCGCAGTTCCAGCCATCACAGCGGCGGTGGTGGTGTACTGTGGAGTCGGTTCTAACTCATAGCGACCCTGTATAACGTATCCGAGGCTGTAAATCTTTACGGGAGCAGAAAGCCTTACCTTTCTCCCGCGGAATCACTGGTAGTTTTGAACTGCTGACCGTGAGATGAGCAGCCTGTCTCGTAACCACTGTGCTACCAGAATTCCTTATAGCGTTTACTAGAATCCACAATTTTCAAGCCCCAAATGCTGGCAGCACTGGATATTTGTACATTAAAAGTAAAAACCCATCAGCACCACGCACTGGAGCATTTTGTTAAACCACCCTGCTTCATTTCCTGAATAAGTCAACTGCCCTGCTATGGAGACAGTTTTTTTAATTCGACATCATGGGATTACGAACTATAAAAGCGTGTACTCTTTTGTTTCCAGAAAACAAGAGTTGAAATACAGAGAGGAAACCTCAGAAACTGAAGAAAAGCAAGGCAATCACAGATTCTTCCCGATTGAGTATCGCCATCTACTGACGAGGCGTGGAACAGCAGCCTCAGGGGGGTGCACCCACCCTCCTATCCTTGTCTGTGATGAGAGCCTCTTTATTCTCTTCGGAGACCAGGACACAAGTGCTGTAGGAAGACTGGAGCATGTTGATCACCAGGGAATTGGACAATACATCCAGTTTCTTCACCTCATCTCCTGTCACGTTCACACTTCCCGCAATCCCATATCTGAGAAGACAAGAGGCTGTATTAAGTCACGAAGAACCCCAAATGCCAAAACTCCGGACCAGCAGTTCTATTATCAAACCTATTTGTTGATCATCCCCAAACTGTGTTTTATTAGATTAAATTAAAGATAGACCTTCAGTAGCTTTGTATTACATTCATTCCTCACTTATCGACATGGTTAGGTTTCAAAGACCAAGTTGTTATGTGAAAATTGTCATGTAAAAGTGTAGGATGATGATATCACATCACAAAACGGAGGATGAGGACTTTGTTACAGAACTGCCAAACCACTGAGAATTGTCACCCAGCCAATTTGACACGTAATTTTAACTACCACAGTACTCAACTATTCTCGCTGTTACTCTACACCTTGGCATTCTTGACTCTCAGATGTACATTTTAATGGGCAATATAATCTGATAGTAGTCTCTTTACTACTGTCATAAATGTAAAATGTGAACCAACAAGACTGTTTATACATGAGGAGTAGGTATCAATGTAAAGAAAACAAAAATCCTCACCACTGGACCAATAAAAAACATCCTGATAAATGGAGAAAAGATTGGCTTCATTTTGCTTGGAACCACAATCAACACTCACAGAAGCAGTAGTCAAGAAATCATACAAGGGATTGCATTAGGCAAATCTGCTGTACTTTCAAGTGTTCAAAAGCAAAGATTGAGACTAAGGTGTGACTGGCCTTTGTGTAGGGTAGCTATGAGTCTGAACCACGGTATTTTCAATTGGCCTCATATACATGTGAAGGTTGGACAATGAATAAGGAAGACCGTAAAAGAATCTATGCATTTGAGTTGTGGTGTTGGACAAGAACATTAAAAATACCACAGACTGCCAGAAGAACAAAGAAATCTTTCTTGGAAGTGCAGCCAGTATGTTTCCCTAAAAGCCAGGATGTTTAGACTGGTCTCTCGTACTTTGGACATGTTATCAGGAGGCACCAGTCCCTGGAGAGAGAAAATGATACTCATAGGCTAGCCTTGGAGTCCTTGGGTGGTGCAAATGGTTAATACACTCAGCTGCTAATCACGAGACTGAGGTTTGCGTCCACCCAGAATCACCTCAGAAGAACAGTCTGGCGATCTATTCTGAATTCTGAAAAATCAGCCATTGAAAACCCTGTGGGGCACATTTATACTGCGATACACATGAACTTGCATCATCGACTCGCTGGCAATTGGTAAAGCTGGCCTTAGCTTGGCTTAGTTCTTTGTACCATTTAGTTTAAAACAATAAACAACAAAACTGGATCCTTTTGCATAGAGCTTAAAGGGCCTCTACATTCCATCTTTTTATGTATGGAATCTTGAAGCAGCTGCTGATGGAGCAAGGAGGACTGGGCTAAACTGAGACACAGGCTTCACTTCCTGTGCTCTGCAAACCTCACCCTCTCCCCACCACCACTAAGCTGCCCTTCTCCCTGCAGACACATCCTGCTGTGTCTGTCTTCCCTCCAGAAAGAATGGACACACCTTCACAGTAAGCTTCAACTGCCTGAGAATTGCTTCAAGTTAGATCATGGGTGAACAGGAGTTTTTCTGATCTGGAGTACTACATTTTTAGCATTTTAACCCGCACTAACGTCTTTACTGAAATTTTCAAACAGGAACACTTGATCATTTAGGTATTAGAAAGCTAGGAGTAGACTTCTAGGAACAAGCACTCTAGCATTTCTGCCGTCTCACAGGCAGGAGACAAAATGACAAGCAGAGAGAATTTCTGATAACTTTAAAATTTTGTTTATGAAATTTTAATTTCCTTACTGTGCCTAAAAATGTCTCCCAAAGGGAATAAGCCGAGGAATGAGGGGCTCATGGTCCCCTAAACAGGGACAATGACAAGACTATGTGGAAATCTCATTCTTAGGAGTATATCTATAGGTGACCTAGGACAGGAGACAATCTTTTAGCTCTCTGAGAAGCAATCCCAGGGACTTTTAAAGTAATCTTTAAGAGTCGTTGTTGTTGTTATCAGGTGCCATCGAGTCAGAACCAACTCATAGTGACCCCATGCACAGCAGAACGAAACAATGTCAGATCCTGGGCCAACCTCACTACCGCCGCCACACTTGACGCCATCGATGATGTCACCTGGCTGATCCATCTCATTGGGGGTCTTTCTCTTTTTCTCTGACCCTCCACCTTACCCAGCATGACATCCTTCTCCAGCGACTGTTTCCTGCGGACAATATGTCCAAAGTATGAGAGATGAAGCTTAGCCATCCTGGCCTCCAAGGAGCACTCTGGCTGCACTTCTTCCAAAACAGATCTATTGGTTCTT